ATTAAGATATTTACGTTAAATAATAGCTTTTAAATGTTTATTATCGGTGAAAACAAACAATTAAATATTTATAATCAAGTATCAAGCATCAAGTAAATATAAACAAATATATTATTTAATATTTTACACTTAATTGTTAAGGGTGTAATTATAATTTTATAAGAGTTTATTTATCATTTTTTTTAAAATAAGGTTAATTGATATTTTCCAGAGTACCCAGAACTGGAATCGTGGTTCCGATTCTAATTTCAAATCAAAGGAACTGATCGATTCCAGTTTCGAATGCTTTGATTTTGGGCGGGTACCCAGACCTGCCCACCCCTAGGCTGGTCCATTATGATTTCACCCCATTTATTGCTGATTTAAAGTTTAAACCATTGGATTTGGATCCTATAAAATCCTCACTATCATTTTCCTTTTAATGCTTTAATTCGTTAGTTTTCAATCATGTGAGCCGTCCGATGTTGATCTACGTTTATCCTGTGGCCACTAACATTTTATCTTTATCATGACCCCACAGCTAACTAAACTTAAGGATGGACTTGCAATTGGATGCGCCTTCAATCACGCGATCCTCGATGGCACTTCCACGTGGCATTTCATGAGCTCATGGGCCCAGATATGCAGTGGCTGTCCCTCAATTTCAGTCCTACCCTTTCTGGAGCGTACGAAAACTCGCGACACGCGCGTGAAGCTGGACCTCACACTTCCCCCTAACCCAAATGCTGACGGTGAGGCCAAGGTGGACCCACAGCTCAGAGAGAGACTATTCAAATTCTCAGAGGAAGCCATTGACAAAATCAAATCAAAAGTCAACTCTAACCCTCCATCGGACGGCTCAAAACCATTCTCAACATTTCAATCACTCTCTGTGCATATCTGGCGCCACGTCACCCATGCACGTAACCTGAAACCAGAAGACTACACAGTCTTCACAGTGTTTGCTGATTGCCGGAAACGTGTGGACCCACCAATGCCCGAGAGTTACTTCGGAAACCTAATCCAGGCAATATTCACCGTCACGGCAGCAGGATTATTATCCGGGAATCCTCCGGAATTCGGTGCAGGTATGATACAAAAGGCTATAGAAATGCATAATGCGAAGGCTATTGACGAACGTAACAAAGAGTGGGAGAAAGCACCAAAGATCTTTCAGTTCAAGGATGCTGGAGTGAACTGCGTGGCGATGGGGAGCTCTCCGAGGTTTAAGGTTTACGATGTGGATTTTGGGTGGGGGAAACCAGAGAGTGTGAGGAGTGGATCGAATAACAGGTTTGATGGGATGGTGTATTTGTACCAGGGGAAGAGTGGAGGGAGAAGCATCGATGTGGAGATTACGTTGGAAACCGGTGCTCTGGAGAGGCTCGAGAAGGATAAGGAGTTTCTCATGGAGGTTTAATAATGTTTAGACAATATTTCAATTTGCATGAGAATTGAGATACCCAGTCTAAGTTTATTTGTTGTTTGTTTAATTAAGCTACGTTGTTTTTGCATTGACTTTTGCCATTTTTTACGTCTAGGGTTTGGTTATGATTGGAGTCTGAGTGTCTCTTTTGAGCTAAGTTTCATATATGGATGTTTTATTGTGTTGGCTTCATAATAGTAATAATAATATTAATATGATTTATCAACCCAAAAAATTAAATAGAATAGTACTCTTATCAATATTTCAACTTTTTTTTTTTTTTTTTTTTCCGTTTTATATTACAAATTCGCTATTTTCTTATATGCTAACATCATGATCATGATATTCGTATATTAAGGAGTGAATAATATTAAGGAGATCGTGGGCGTCGAAATTTTGAGGATATGTGGGTGCCGTAAGTTTGCATTGGCCATGTTCGTGGGGACAGCTAATTTCAGGTGGTTTCCCGACACTGAAGTTAGCGTCGAAGAATGCATCCATGTACCAACGCATTTTAGGTCCTTTTTTCGCCCACACGACTACGCATCGGCGTAGTCTAAGAACTTCGACATCAACTCCTCGTATCGGAAAGATGCATCAGAGGATACATATTTTCCGGAAGTGATTTGATGGCATTATCAAGCCATTATTATTACTTGCATATATTTGTAAGTAGCAAGAACATATACTCTATACATCAACAGCCATCGTGATGACCATTCATTATTTACATCTGCCTCTCTCTCACAACTATTGCCAGTTAACATACCAACCGATACTAGCTTTAATTTGGCTGCCATTAATTGTAAAATAAAACAGGCTGCCATTAATTGTACAATAAAACATATATATTAAAAGAAAAATGGGATGGTGAGAGCTAGAGCCCCAGTGCCATAGACTTACAGTTACAGGCTTAATGAATACTGATAGTACAATTTTCTAAGATTTATTCCACAGAATAAAGAGGGTACATGTCTCCTAACAGCCCAAAATAGGACGTTCCATTGCCCAAATCTGTTTACCTAACTTCGAGATATGTCAATCTTTTAAATGTCCAAAACACCTTTGACTGATTTACTCCTAATTTCACAAGTTTTTTTGTTAAAATGATTTGTGTCAACTTATCATATAATTATTGTAGGGTTAAATGTTAGTACAATATATATATTTTTTTTTTAATTAGGAGGGGTGTCTGGATTAACTTGTGCATACCTCAATTAATTCTTAGGGCGCTAGAAATATTGACCTTTAAGAACTGTAATGGTCACTCCTATTAATGTTTGAGAGACTCGAACTCAGAAGCTCATAGAATCTTATTGTACTCTTTTACCATCAAGTCACATAGTGGTGGTTAATATTAATGCATTATTAATAATGGAACGGATGCTACTCTAGCGGGTGGGCCATGATTTAAAAAAAATATATATTAATATGTACAATTTCTGGATTTTAGCCTACCCTAATAGAAATATTAATGGATACAAATATTAATTTGTAATTAGTTTTTAATTTGAATCACCCTAACAGAAACTTCTGGATCCTCCCCTGACTAACTACTATATAAGTTGGTATAGCACATTTTAAAGTGATTACAAAAAGTTAGGGTAATCCTAAACAATCGAAGTAAATATTTTGTTTTCTTACTTTTGTTATGAATAATATTATTCATCAAAATTTTGTAAGTGAGTTGACATTATATTAGTGGAATATATAGATTATATTATTAGGAGATATCTACCACTAAAACAATGACTTGTATACAAAATTTGGGACATATTATTATACTACTCTTTTGTTGATGCACATGGGCTGGATCAAAATTCAGAAATATCCAGATCTAGCCCAATTAATACAGCCCAAATCCAGCCCAACCCAACCCAATCCAACCATTTGGATCTGTGTATGGGTTGGTGTAAATACGCACCAGGCTTACTTCAAAGATCTCCACCGTCAATTTGCTGCAAAACATGATATTCCACTTCTGTAGAACAAGTGAAATTGAATACAAGTGCGTTTTCTCTAACCTTAAACCTATATGCAGAGGTTTCTCCGTTTTCTGGGAAAATGTAAGATACTTCCCTCTATACTTGTATCGTATTTACAGTTCTTATGAAGCTTGAAAACACTCATCCCGTTACTCTTTGACAATAGTTTTAGGGTTTTTGTGGTTTTATTTATGTGGGTTTTTGATTTGGTCAAATATATTCAATTTTGACTTGGTGGGTATCTGTAATTTGTCAAATGATTCGTATATTGTATTCAAATGGGTTGTCCAGAATGCTTAGGCCTCCACTCCACGGATTGAAATGCCGAGTTTCTGTTAGTTTTTATTAAATTTAGTGTGTTACTGCAGCTATCATATGGAGTTTATGTTAGCCTTTTTATTATTTTCATGACGTGAGAATTTGCTTGTATTTTTTTGGGTTTAAAGTTAGTCTTAAGTAGATAGGTTTATTTCTTGACAATATTCTCCTTTGGTTTTGTACTATTTCACGCAAAATGTTGCTTGCACAGAAAAAAGTTGTAGGTGGCTTTGTGAGCATTATTTTTGAATAACCAAATTTCATGTCAAACAAAGAACAACGCTCTCAAGATCTGATTCTTGTTTAATCTTCTTTTTCACATTTGAGTTTTGAATTTGTTTTGACCAAAATCTATGTTCTGACGAATCCTTGGATTGTTATTGTTATTTTTTAGTTTCAGTGGATGAAAATAGAACAACATTGTGTATCTTGAACTTTTTCATAGTGTGCTGGTTTCAGCTTTATCTATTGGTAGAGTTTAGGATGGGAGTAAACGGCATGAATTTGCTATTGAGTTCATATTTCCACTTCGATGACTATTTCAGTGTGTCAACTAAAAACACCCACCTCTTTTATAGAGTAAAGGTTTGTTTGTGTACCTCTAGTGGTGAGTTTTGTTTCCTAAGCAGAATTTGATTATGTACAATTGGGGTTTTGAATCATGTTTCTATGATGGTGATTTTCTTAAACTGGAGTCTGGTAATTATTCTAGCGTATCATGGTCTCATTCTTTTGAGGGATAAGAAAAAATGAAACTTTTCTCTATTGTCTAGTAGTTTCAAGTTCCATCCATCTCTGATGAATCTTTTCTACATTATTGTTTTCATTTATTGTTCTGTTCAACATTCTAAACTCTGCTAATGTTGCAATTTTTATAAATTTCTGAATTCATATAATTATTTTTTCTTGTATATGTAATTTTTCATGGTTTCATGTATTCAGTTGTGGTTTTGTGATTTCAGCTGCTGGGTTTCATCTAAAAGCACATTAATTTTCAGATAATCTTCATTTTGATTGAGCTTGCAGTGCTGCTGCTGGAACTAATTTTTTTTTGTATGTAAATCATTAATTAATCTGCTGAAGTATGTAATCCTTTTTGCTATTCGTTTATGTTGGTTAATATTTTTCTAGATATGTGATCAAATTTTATGTCTATTAAACCATGAGTGAAAGACACAACTTTAGATTATTGAACTAAAAGTTAGCATGATGTTTGCGGCATTTATCGCAGGAACATATTTTATTGTTTTTTTTTTCTTCATTCCGATCAAAATGTAGCATGTTAGTTATATGATTTATAGTGAGTGCTTCTTGTTTTCACTATTTTTCCCTGGTTAAGCATATATGAATAAAAGAAAATAAAAACTAAATAAAAATATCTTTTGCTAGGGGTTTGTGTTTCTTATTTCTTCATAAATCATTAGTAGGTTGGGTTGTTTGTTGCTTGATAGAGTATGAGAGAATATGTGTGTGTGTTATTAACTTTTGATTATATGATATGAGATCTATTTTGTTAATCTAAAAGGAAAATGAAAGGACAGTCGACGCTAAATGAATTCCAAGTTGGTTCCAAATAAAATTTGGATCAAATGGAATCCAATATACTGAATTTAATTGCAGATAAGATAAGTAGAATCTTAAATTCAAATCCATGCCATCCTGAAGCTGCTTTATATTTTTTATACCATATTATAAGCTCTGGAAAAATGGATTATCCTCTGTTTCATAGCAGATGTTCTTATAGGAGATTTTCAGCTTAAAGTTTTGATGTACTAGTTCCTAAGGGAACTCAACAATGCCTCTTAGAATGTTTGGCTTAATCACTTCCTGTGCGTACTCATTTTTTCGATATGTTTTCAGGATGATTTATGTGAACAGTTAGCTGTCATATTGAAACAAACCCCATCCATCTGATTAACCATAGACTAATAAATTGTTGAGGGCATTGAAATGGGTTCACCTGAGCGTAGTCGGAGTTCTGCAAAACGAGACACAGAGGATGGCCTGGATGTGAAGAACAATCGAGACAGGGATAATGAGGAATGGGAGGGCAATGATAAGAGAAAGCATAGGTCAAGCAAGTCTAGAAAGCCTAGCAATGGAGAAGAAACTGAAGGATTAGATGGCAGTGGAAGAAGGAGAAGTTCCGGTGATAGAAATGAGACTCGTAAGAGGTCAGGTGGCTCTAGCAGAGCAGACAGTGATGAAGATGAATATGACACAAGAAAAGAGCAGCGTTCCAAGCAGATTAAGAAAAAACAAGAGGAGAGTTCCTTGGAACAATTGAGCAGTTGGTACCAGGATGGAGAAGTAGATAACAGGAAAGATGGTGGGGACAAGTCTGGGAGTAGAGGGCACAGTCGGGCTGATGAAAGTGAGAGAAGAAAAACAACTTCAAAGTTCTCAGAGCATGAGAGCTCCCGAAGTGGAAATAAAAGCAAGGATGAAAGATCACATGATGGAGAGTCTGAAAAATCATTGGATAAAGATTCAAGGTACTCAGAAAGAAGGGAAAGTGGACGAGAGAAGGTTCATGATTCTTCTGATCTGGGAAGAAATTCAAGGAGAAGATGGGATGAGTCTGATGCTCTTAGGAAAGCTGAAGAAAATCACCACGAAAGAGTTGATCTGAGAAGTGGAAAGGCTTCTGATACCAAGTATGAGAGTTCTAAAGACAGGAGTGCATCTGCCAGACATGAGTCAATTGAGAGTAAAAGCAGGGGTTTAGATTCAAACAGCGAGAAAGTTATCAAATCCAACAACAGAGAAGAGAGAAGGGTTGATACTGAGAAGAATAAGAGTAAAGGCAGGTCAGAAGCTTTGGAAGAAGAAATTAGGGATAGTCCTATTCATCATGAAGACAGATCAGGTAGGGATAAGAGTGAGAAGAGTAGACAGCAAAGAACTCCAACTGGTCGGGATGTTGGTGAAGGACGTGAAAGGTCTTCCAATAAGGATGATGATGGAAATGCTTGGATGAAACGCTCTAACAGGTCCAGGACTCCTGAAAGGAGTGGGAGACGTCATCCAGAATCAGAACACTCTGAGGTGGATTTTGAAAGAAGCAATGATATAAAGCGGAAGGAAATAGAAAAAGATAGTAACAGGGACGAGAGATCAAAAGCCAGAGACGATAGTTGGAGTGACAAGAATAGGGATCGGGAAGGTTCAAAAGAGAATTGGAAAAGAAGGCAATCCAGTAGTAATGATAAAGAGTCAAAAGATGGGGATATTTTTTATGATCGTGGCAGAGAGTGGGAGTTACCAAGGCATGGTCGTGATCGGAATGATCATGAAAGGCCTCATGGCCGTTCAGGTAACAGAAAAGATGGGAGTAGGGGTGAAGCTGTGAAGACATCATCGAATTTTGGAATTTCAAACGAGAATTACGATGTGATAGAGATCCAAACCAAGCCTCTTGATTATGGAAGAGCAGAGTCTGGGCCCAACTTTTCTCGGAGATCTGAAGTTGGTCATCAATCTGATGTTCAATTGGCTCCAAACGAACAAGAGTGGGCCTATATGCGTGAAGATCGAGCAAAAAGGACTGACGTGCATGGATCTGGACATTCAGGTGAAGATTCAAGGGACAGATATGTGGACGATGGACGGGATACAAATTCATGGAGGGATGATATTGATTATCAGGGAGGGAAAGGAAGAGGCCAGAAAGGTGCTCTGCCTGGTCGTAATGCAGGTTCTGCTAGTGGTTCACAGCCTCCATATGGAAACCAGGAGGCTGGGTCTTTTGGTAGAGGTCCTCCACAGGGAGTGAAAGGGAGCAGGGCAGGGAGAGGAGGAAGGGGCAGGCCTACTGGGAGAGACAATCAACAGGTGGGAGTTCCATTGCCTATCATGGGATCACATTTTGGGCTTGGAATGCCACCGCCTGGATCAATGCAGCCTCTTACCCCTGCTCCTGGTCCTCCAATAAACCCTAGTGTCTTCATTCCTCCTTTTCCAACTCCTGTTGTTTGGCCTGGGCCTCGAGGAGTTGATATGAATATGCTAGGTGTTCCACCTAGTCTCTCTCCTGTTCCTCCTGGACCATCAGGGCCACGATTTCCTCCTAACATAGGCACTCCAGCAAACCCTGGTATGTACTTTAATCAAACAGGTCCTGGAAGAGGAGGTCCTCCTAGCATATCTGGGCCGGGCTTTAATGCTGCTGGACCAATTGTACGAGGTACACCACCTGATAAACCCTCAGGAGGTTGGGCTCCTCCCAGAACTGGTGGAACCACAGGTAAAGCTCCTTCCAGAGGAGAGCAGAATGATTACTCACAGAATTTTGTTGACACTGGCATGCGACCCCAAAATTTCATCCGGGAACTAGAACTTACAAATGTTGTGGAGGATTACCCCAAGCTAAGGGAGCTTATACAAAAGAAGGATGAGATTGTGTCTAAATCTGCTACTGCACCCATGTATTTCAAATGTGACCTGCGTGAATTTGAGCTGTCCCCTGAGTTCTTTGGTTCCAAGTTTGATGTTATTCTTGTAGACCCACCTTGGGAGGAATATGTTCATCGAGCTCCTGGTGTTGCTGACCATATGGAGTACTGGACATTTGAAGAAATACTTAATTTAAAGATTGAGGTAATCTGTTTGCATAAAAGTTTTCTTTGCACTGTCCTTTGCAATAAGAAATTAATATTTTGTCTTTACATTTACGTTTATGACTCTAATATTATTACTATCAAAGCATTGATTTTAATATGTTTACATCATTGATGAATGAATAATAGGTTGATTATGTTGGTGATCTTGTATGTGTTCCTTTTCCTGATAAATGCCATCTTTCTGAGACTTTTGACCAAATATTTATTTATTTTCAGGCTATAGCAGATACACCTTCTTTTATCTTCCTTTGGGTGGGTGATGGTGTAGGGCTTGAGCAGGGTCGTCAGTGCTTGAAGAAGGTATATGATTAAGACTTCTAAATTAGAAAGTGGATTAAATATTCATCTCTTAATTTGTAATAAGAATCATATACTGTAATGTGCAATAATGCCTCAGATAATATTAACTCTTTCTTTGTACTGCAGTGGGGGTTTCGGAGGTGTGAGGATATTTGTTGGGTGAAGACAAACAAAAATAATGCAACTCCAGGGTTGCGGCATGGTCATACTTTGTTTCAGCACTCTAAGGTTTGGTAGAATATTTTTTCTGTGTTGTGGACGTCTAAGCTTCATCATAATAATTTACCTATATTCCTGTTAGTTTAAGGAATGCTTTGCAAATTCATCTTCTGTTTTCTTAAGCTTTTCTTTGTTTGACATTATGATTAAGGAACACTGCTTGATGGGTATAAAAGGAACTGTCCGCCGCAGTACTGATGGTCATATAATCCACGCCAACATTGACACTGATGTCATTATTGCTGAGGAGCCTCCTTATGGTTAGTAATGTCTCAAAATCTTAGACACTGATGATTGGAATATGCATTTACTTGCTAGTCTTTCACGTGTGAAAGATATTTCCCTTAATCTATTGTGGTTTTACTATTAGTATTATTTTTTAGGTGTATAAGGTTCAAATAAAAATCATGTGATCTTCTCCATGTGAAAATCTATGTTTCTCTGCTTTTTTTTTTTTTTTTAATTAAACTTTGAAGGAAATACAAAACCAAAATGAAAATAGGAAGATTTAACAGTTTCCACCCTTGAGCATGAGGAATTTTTGTTTTTGGTGTAGGACATTTGGATTGTGTGTAATTTATATGGGTTTTACGTTGTTGTTCATTATCAACATAGATAACAGGGTAATTCATTTTGGTACATGTGTTTTGTAAAATAAAGGTGATACAATGGTCAATTATAGCTAAGATTTTCTTTTCTGGAAAAAGATAATATTCCTTACTGCTAAGGTTTATGCCTGTGGAATTGTAGGTTCAACTCGAAAGCCTGAGGATATGTATCGGATCATTGAGCATTTTGCCCTGGGCCGCAGAAGGCTTGAGCTCTTTGGTGAAGACCACAATATCCGAGCTGGTTGGCTGACTGTTGGTAATGGCATATCATCGTCAAACTTTAACAAAGAGGTAATTTATCGTTTGACAACATAATATCGTCAGTTGGAGTTCTTTAATTGATTATTGTTTAGGCCTCTTTTATTAAACTGAGGACAGATAATTGGACACTTCTACCAGCTAATGCAGCATTAATAATCCTCGTTTATTTCTAGATTAAGAATAGTTTTTTTTTTTTTTTTTTTTTTTTTTTTTGAGATTTTTATCATGTTCTGTAATGAAAACATTTTCTAGAGAGTAAGAGAAAGGGTGTTAGTCTGAGAAGCATTCTTGTTTATATATGTGACAACAACTGAAAACATCTATGCTTTGTGCATGCAATGTCATAGTATTTTGGTACCTCTGATAGTAGGCAGTACATGCACAAGTCAACCAAATGATGTGCATTTCAAGTCAGATTATTCTTTGAGATATCATCTGTCAAATCAAAAGACTAGAATCCTAAATTTGCTTATGATTGTTCTAAGTTCAGTTTTTTTTTTTTTTTTTTTTTTCTTTAAAAAGAGAATTCTTGACCAGACGAATTTGGGTTATGTTGCAGGCATACATCAGAAACTTTGCAGACAAAGATGGAAAAGTTTGGCAAGGAGGGGGCGGACGAAATCCACCCCCTGAGGCACCTCATCTTGTCATTACAACCCCTGAAATAGAGTCTCTTCGTCCCAAGTCACCAATGAAGAACCAGCAGCAGCAGTCAACCTCCATTTCTGTGACACCTATCAATTCCTCAAGTAGAAGGGCAGCCGGAAATTCTCCGCAGAATACAGGTGGTCTTGGCTTAAATCAAGAAGCCTCTAGCTCTAACCCTTCTACTCCGGTTCCATGGGCTTCGCCTATGGAGGGATTTAGAGGACGGGATATCGGCAATATGCCTTCTGAGGATAAGTATTTTGATATTTATGGGTATACTGGGCAGGCAAGTGGTGATTACCCAGATTTTGACTCTCAGAGACCATTGAATTTGTTGTAACTAAAATTTTCATCATTAATCATTTATTTTCCCGCCTTGAAATATAATGAAAAGAGAATGTCTTTTGTTTCTCAGTGCGTTTGATAGTCTACACAACATGACAACAAAAAACCCAAAAATGAGAAATAAGAGCATCTCTAATGGTAATCTTTATTTTGAAGAGTATTTTTCATATAAATAAAGAGTATTTTTATTAATTTTTAAATATAAAAAATACAATTTTTATTTAAATCTAATAGGTTTGTTAAATTTAATGAAGATGTTCTTTATTTTTAAGAAAGAGATTTAATAGAATAAAAAATTAATAAATAAAACGTATAAAAATTTACAATTTATTAGTTAAAATTAAGATAGAGAATGAAATTTGACTTTTTAAATATGGAGAGTCAAACCCATTCTCTAATTTATATTTTAAAGATAAAGAATTTATTGAACTCTTATTTTTATGGATAGACTCTTTATTATAAAAAATTTAGACCATATAAAGAATTATTTGAAAATGTTTTAAGTCTAAAAACTCCGATGAATTACATGATCAGAAGGACTCAGTTTATAACATACTGTAATGGAGATCTTTCGGTATTTGAAACCAAAAGTAAAATACGAATTAAGGTTGTCTTGTTACTACAAACCTGATTTCTGAAATTTTCTTTGAAAGTTGATCAACAAATTCGCAGAAGTACAAACAATAGTTGTGTATTATTCATTACTTTTAAATTGAAATAGGCATAAGCATTCCTCAAGAAAAGAAACAAGAATAATTCAGTCCTCCGGATGCAACATTCCTCTCCAGTAATGGTACTTCACACTAAATCATCTTCTACGTGAATCCAGGAACAGCCTGAACTTGCCAGTTAACAAAAAATTTCTAAGGACTACCCTATATGCATGTGCTAGAAATTGAAAAAAAAAAATTTAAAGTACAAAAAAGGTGGGTGGCAGAAATCAGGAATAGTATAGAATTTCTTTCATTTATCATTTTAATGAGCTTTACTGGCTCGCTTTAGAGATTCTTAAGGATGGACAGCTCACTAGAAAATTCTCTTGTTTTCATCTCCTTCAAGATGTTTCATGTCTATATCTCAGGCTTTTGGGGTGGTGGCGTTGTACCAGCAGTTTCTTTAACAGTAGCTGTTATCAGAACATACATCGATGTTACCAAGACTTGATTGACATAGAGATAGAGAGAGAGCAAGAGATATTAACAAATGATATACCTTGAGGCTGATTTTGCGGTTCAGGTGAGCTTTCCCCCTGAGGAGGTGACTGCACCTGTTGTTGGGCTGCAGATGCCTTCAGCTGCTCTTCCGTGACTTTTAAGTAATCTTCAGTGGTGTATGCTGCCTTTTGGGATGGAGAAACATCTGCAAATTTAGACAAAATAAATGAATTCACCATAATTCTTTTAAACATTTAGACAGTCATGGAGTGTTTAGGGCAGAAAGAAGAGACTTATACTGGGCAATCAGAATACAAAACAGAACACTACAGGCATGCGGAGAGCAAAAGTTTCCAATAGCTATTTATCTATGCAAAAGATCAATCAGGTACAATATCATACAGAACTACGCAACCATAAATAACTATAACATTATGACTACATCTAGCATCATGTTAATTATTTCTTGGCTGTTAAGGAAATTATTTACTGGACCAGTAAAATTTATTGACAAATGTATTACTATAGATGACCATAACCAAAGGTTTCTAAACTTTTTTGCCGGAGATTTTTATCCAGTCAAGTATTACGAGCATTTCATGAAACATAAATTGTATTAGAGTCCAAAAGTGTGGCTAAATTGTATCAAAATCCAAAAGCAAAGCCAAAAACTTGACTCTACAGACCCCTTTGCCTAAGCAACATCTGTCTAAATCAAATTTTGGTATAGATTACTTCAGCCTGGATAATTTGTTCTCAATCTTTACATTTACAATTTTTTTTTTTTTCTTGATATCCAAAAGTCCCTTGACCTTCTCCGTTATTCTCCAAGCTTTAAGTCAAGGACTACTCCCAAAGCCCTATAAACTTAGTAGCAAGAAACATGCTGGATACAATTATATCCCCAAGTAGGTGGCCTCAAGGGATTTTAACCTCAGCCCTCTTGGCAAAACTAAGGTGCTTAGCCACTCAACCTACCCCTTTGGGTTCAATTTTTACATGCTCTTAAAGATATTTGACATTATGGAATAATGTTGATAACAGGGGAAGAAAGATAAGCAAATACAATTTAAATGATAACATGAGGTCTCTTATGACATCAATGTTTAGTAGTTGAATGAAGTATTTGAAGATCAAACAAGGGGTTGAATTGAAATATTTCAGTATTTTATGATACAAAAGTTCTAAAGATTGCACCTTGAAACTTCTCAAGTCAACAGAACTTCCTAGTTTAAGACAGATTTACAGGCAGAATAAAAATCAAAAGGATAAACAATAAAGTCAACTAATTATTTCACAAAATAAAAAAAAAAAAAAATCTGACGGGTAATATCACTCACTGCGGTCAACAACAGTCTGAGAATCGTCCGTGCTGGCAACTGGTGGAGGAGTTGAGACAGTGTTGATAGTGCTAGAGTTGTTTAAGTTTTGCGTTGAACCCGGAATATCATCAAGTCCAATATTAAGAGCATTCTCTTAATGGTTCTATGTGACAAACAACTGAAAACATCTATGCTTTGTGCATGCAATGTCATAGTATTTTGGTACCTCTGATGAGTAGGCAGTACATGCACAACTCAACCAAATGATGTGCATTTCAAGTCAGATTATTCTTTGAGATATCATCTGTCAAATCAAAAGAAGCTAGAATCCTAAATTCTTGCTTATGATTGTTCTAAGTTCAGTTGTTTTTTTTTTTTTTTTCCCTTTAAAAAGAGAATTCTTGACCAGACGAATTTGGGTTATGTTGCAGGCATACATCAGAAACTTTGCAGACAAAGATGGAAAAGTTTGGCAAGGAGGGGGCGGACGAAATCCACCCCCTGAGGCACCTCATCTTGTCATTACAACCCCTGAAATAGAGTCTCTTCGTCCCAAGTCACCAATGAAGAACCAGCAGCAGCAGTCAACCTCCATTTCTGTGACACCTATCAATTCCTCAAGTAGAAGGGCAGCCGGAAATTCTCCGCAGAATACAGGTGGTCTTGGCTTAAATCAAGAAGCGTCTAGCTCTAACCCTTCTACTCCGGTTCCATGGGCTTCGCCTATGGAGGGATTTAGAGGACGGGATATCGGCAATATGCCTTCTGAGGATAAGTATTTTGATATTTATGGGTATACTGGGCAGGCAAGTGGTGATTACCCAGATTTTGAATCTCAGAGACCATTGAATTTGTTGTAACTAAAATTTTCATCATTAATCATTTATTTTCCCGCTTTGAAATATAACGAAAAGAGAATGTCTTTTGTTTCTCAGTGCGTTTGATAGTCTACACAACATAACAACAAAAAACCCAAAAATGAGAAGCTTATAAGCCTAGAAACTCCGATGAATTACATGATCAGAAGGATTCCATTTTACGTTTATAACATACTGTAATGGAGATCTTTCGGTATTTGAAACCAAAAGTAAAATACGAATTAAGGTTGTCTTGTTACTACAAACCTGATTTCTGAAATTTCTTTGGAAGTTGATCAACAAATACGCAGAAGTACAAACAATAGTTGTGTATTATTCATTACTNTTTCAATTATTCTTTAAAACACGTTTATAAAAATATTTTCTAATAGGATATATAGAGACTCTTAGGGTATTATTCAATAGGTTCTGAGTTCGAGTCTCTCTGATCTTGTCACTCTCAACACAAAATAAAAGCAATAAAGCAGCCGCAATTCCAACAGCACATAGTGTTTCCAACCACAAATAACAAGAAGTAATAATCCAACCAATCAATTAACAGAAGAAAAAGACAACTTGCATTAATATACTCATAAAAAGTATTCAGTACAAAAAGAATAATGCAAAAATAAGAAAGAGCCGGTTGGATTTCGAGGACCAGTTCCTCCCAAACCCTTTTTTCCCAAATATTCATAATACCCCCCATACACACACGTCCTAGCCTTTTATTCACAATTCCTAACAACTACCCAGACCACTTGTCAAGCCGCCCATTCTTCATTTTGATTCCTCAGATCCCCATAATCTCCCAGGCCACCTGTTAGACCACATGTCCTTCATATTAATTCCTGGCCACCTATCTTGCAGCTTGCTATCCTTCATGTTGATTATTGGCCATCTGTCCCATAGCTTGATTCCCTTGTTGTCCTTCATGTTGATCCTTGGCTACTGTCCTACAACTTGATTCCCTTCTTTGCCCCTTTTAGCCTTGCGTTTATACCGATGATTGCAGGTCCATCAATACTCTCCCAAAGGAGTGCCACCTTGTCCTCAAGGTGGAAGCAAGGAAACTTGCGGCATATAGATTCATAGTCTTCCCGTGTGTGATCGCAAGCGGGGAGATTCTTCTATTTGATTAGCACCTCATAATTACCATTTAGTAATCGACGTTTTAGTAGGGCTTGTCAGGGTTCCACATTAAGTACCATATCATCATCAAAGAACTTCAGAAGAGGCAACACCAGGATGGGGTGGGAAGAGACTTTTCCAGTTGTGATACGTGAAAAACATCATGAATTCTGGCTATAGGTGGGAGCTTCAATCTATAAGCTACTGACCCAATCTTTTCAATAACTTCATAGGGACCGTAAAACCGAGGGCTAAGCTTTTCATCAGGCCTCCATGCTAAAGACTTTAGCCTGTATGGTCGTAACCTCAAATAAACTGAATCCTGGTCTCCAATAGGAGTTTTCGGCGTTTACCATCTACGTACATTTTCATTGCATTTTGAGCCCTTTTCAGATTACCTTTTAACTCTTCCAATATCAAGTTTCATTCAGATAGGAGTTCATCCATGGCGTCCACTACTGAGCTATGTTTAGAATACTTGAGTAGGGTAGGTGGATCCCTGCCAAATAGTGCCTTGAATGGAGTCATCCCCGTTGATATGTTGTAGGTGGTGTTGACCCAATACTCAGCCCAAGCAAGCCACCAAGGCCACTGTTTGGACTGATCACTCACGAAGCACCTTAAGTACGTCTCAAGACATCAATTGGCGACCTTAGTTTGGCAGTCGATTGAGGATGGTAAGTTGTGCTCATGTGGAGCTTGGTACCCAACAATTTAAATAATTCTCCCCAAAACCCGCTCATAAATAGGTTGTCCCGATCAGATACAATGGTCCGGGGAAATCCATGTAGTTCATCTACCTCGGTGAGAAAAAGGGCAGCCACCTCTTTGGCTGAAAAAGGATGGCATAGAACAATGAAGTGACTGTACTTGGTAAGACGATCTATCACCACCAGGATGGTGTCGACTTGATAGGCCCTTGGGAGACCCACTATGAAGTCCATGGAGACATCCTCTTATACTTGAGAGGGAATAGGTAGCGGTTGTAGCAATCCCGCAAGCTTGAGATAGTATTGGCAGATAGGACAATCATGGACAAATAGTTGAATATCCCTTTTCATTCCCTCCCAGCAAACTACTTGAGACAGCATCTTATAAGTGCGGTAAAACCCAAAATGGCCCCCCATTGGTGAAGAATGAAATTCTTAGAGAAAGAGCTTCACTTGAAAGCAGGATCGTGGAAAGACTATTCTATCATCATAAAATAATTGATTCCCCACCAGTTGAAAGTGCAAATGACTCATGGGGTTAATGATCAATTCTTGACAAATCTTCTGAAATTTTACATCTTTCTAAACAGCTTCTTCCCACTCTTATCGATTTCCGAAGTAACAAATGGAGATTACATTATACTCAATAAGGCCCTCTCATCTAGGTAGAGCATCAGCAGCTTTATTTTCAAGGCTTGACTTGTAGTGAATCTTGAAATCCAAACCCAAGAGCTTGATAATCCATTTTTGTTGTTGTTCTCCTTGCAGCATCTGATCATTGAGATAATGAAGGCTCATCTGATCAGTCCGAATAATGAAATGTCACCCAAACAAGTAATGTTTCCATTTCTGAACTGCCAAAACTATTGCCATAAGCTCCCTTTCATAAACTAACTTTATCTAAACTTGAGAGATAATCCTTGACTAATGAATGCCAAAGGTCGACCTTCTTGCATTAAAACAGCCCCCAAACCATGGTCCAAAGCATCGCTCTCAATGATAAAAGTCTTTGAGAAGTCTGGCATCGTGAGGACGGGAAAGGAAGTCATGAGTTGCTTGAGGTGGTCAAAGGCTGACTATACTAATTCAGTCCAGTGGAATGCGTTCTTGCGGAGGAGATTAGTTAGTGGTCTTGTTCTTGCCTCGTAACTTTTCACAAATTTTCGGTAATCGCCTGTCAATCCTAAAAACCCCTATAATGCCTTGATGTCTTTCAAAACCAGCCATGCTTGGACACACTCTATTTTGGCAGGATCAACACCAACCCCCTGAGCCGAAATTAAATGTTCGAGGTACTCAAGTTGTGATTATGCAAACTTGCATTTCTTCTTATTAATAACCAGCTGATGCTGCTCTAAAATCTGAAAAGTAGTCTCCAAATGATCCAAATGAGGCTTTAAGCTTGTGTTGTAAATAAAGATATCATCGAAAAATACTAAAATGAACTGCCGCAAGTGAGGTTTAATAATGTCGCTCATGAGGGCTTAAAAGGTTGATGGAGCGTTTGAGAGGCCAAATGGCATAACTAGGAATTCGCACTACCCTTCGTGTGTCCTAAATGTTGTTTTATAAGTGTCGCCTTCCCTTACTTTGATTTGGTGGTACTCGGATTTAAGATCAAGTTTGGAGAAGATTGTGGCCCCCTTAATGCATCGAACAGTTCGTCGACATTTGGAATTGGGAACCTGTCAAGAGTAGTAATCTTGTTTAGGACTTTATAGTTGACACAGAATCGCCATCCGCAATCTTTCTTTCGTACCAATAACATCGGGCTTAAGAAAGGGATTTTACTAGGCTTGATGATGCTTGATACCAACATTTCCTTGATATGCGTTCAATCTCATTTTTTTTATAGTAGGGATATCGATAAGGTCGAATGTTAGGTGGTCTAATGCCAGGTTCCAATCTGATGGCATGGTCATGGATTCTCTCTGGTGGAAGTCTAGAGGTGGCTTCAAACAAGGACTCATGACGTTGTAATAGTTCCAGGACCCTTAAATCCTCCACTTCTTTATTGTTTGACTATGAGTGCAGGCTATTGAATTCGATCCAATACCCTAGGCCGTCCGATTGTAGTGTTTTGAGAAGTCCCTTGAGGGACACCATTGTCTTGCTTAAAGATGGATCTCCCTTAAGAGTGATCACTTTATTTGTTAGGCTAAATTTCATAACCAATGTTATCCAATTAATCATAGTCTCCCCCAAGGTCTCTAACCAAGCCACGCCTAAAATAATATCAGCTTCACTCATCTCAAAAGGAAAGAAATTTTGGACCACGGTGATGCCTTGCAAATTCAACTCAACTCCTTTACATTCTCCACAGCACCTAACATGGTAACCATCGCCTACTCTAACTCCAAAGGGCTTTGTGCTAATTACCGGAATTTTTAACTCCTCTATCACTTGCCGGTGGATGAAATTATGAGAGGCTCCATTGTCATCAAGAACTATCACTTCCTTTCCCCCAACATTTCCCTTTAACTTCAAGGTTTTCGACCCGTCAAGTCCCACAATTGAACTGATCGAAAGCTCTGCTTCATGCGGTGCTGAATTTTCTTCATTCTCTTATCCCTCATTCAGTTCTTCCTTGTCATCCCCTTCATCTGGTTCTTCCACCAACATAACATTAAACTGTCTCTCCCCACACCTATGGCCTGGTGTAAACTTGGCGTCACATCGATAACAAAGACCCCTTTCTCTCTTCCTTTAAATTTCGGCTTCAGACAGCTTCTTGAAGGGGAAATCTCGCCAAAATGGAGTTGACCAAGAGTTGTCTGCTGGAGTGGACCTTGAACTTGAAACACTCTCGGTAAAATTACGTCTGAAAGAAGGTGGTATTGCTGGGCTTCTTTGACTGAGCATGGTGGTAGGTTGGGTCACATGTGTTTGGGTTTGGATTTGATTAGTAAGGGTTTGGGTTTTATTAAATTCTTCAAGTCTGTAGAAAGTAGTGAAATGGCCTGGGCCACTAAGGTTTCCTCTCATTTTTCCCATTCAGTCCAATCCAACGCTAGCCTCATCCAAAAGTTGGTTCCTTTCTTCAACCCATTGGACCAGGAGAGTTACTTAGGGGTCAGAGAATCGGGTTGGCCCAAAATATTGGGCTACTGAAGTTTAATTTCAGCTTTGATTTCAGGTTTGAGCCTATTGAGGTATGCTGACATGAGGACTTCCTCTTCTCATCCACCGTCAGCGCCGCCACCTCCTCAAAACGCCGACGATACTCTAGCACCGAGCCC